CCACCACTGCACACTCTGAATTTGGACTGAATAAATATTTTAAAGCCTGGGTGAGGAGTTAGAGCAAGCTCCCTCCCCGCTCCCTGGGTTCTGGGGTCACAGTCCCCTGAGCTGGCAAGGGATTCATAGATGCCCACTTCTGCTCATAGGACGAGGGGGCAGCATGACATGACAGACAGCTGGCCTGGCTGGTCGCCGGTCTAAGTCGAGCATGGAGGCTCCTGGATCCCCACTGACGAGCTGGGTGACCCCAAGCAAGTAACTTCCGTTGCCCTCACCAGGTGGCCAAGGTTGGCAATGACATGTATAAAGCCCCTCCCCTGAGGTACACAGCAGGTGCCCTCTAAAAGGAGGGCATGGTCAGGATGTCCAGGGACAAGACAGGGGCTTCTGGGGACTGAATGAGCAGCAGACGGGGCAGCATGACAGAGGCAGCCTCTCACCAAGAATCAGAGTCCTGTGTGTGGTGGTGCCCCAGGGCTTGGAGGGCAAGAGTCAGGAAGAACCATGATGAGGACCCCCCTCAGGAGCAAGACCACCTTCAGAGCAGGGGAGAGCCTGTGGGGACAGCTGCCAGGGCTGAAAGCACCTCTTCTTCGCTGACTGTGGTAGTTTCTATCTAGAGTTGCTCCTATGAGTTATTTCTGGCGTGCATGACAGCTGGATTGAAGGTGACAAGAGGTGTCATCTTCAACTAACTAAGTGGAAGGATAGAGCAAGGGAGGGCTCCCCAAGATGATGAGGTTGGCCCCCAGTGCAGCAAATAACCCGAGACACCCCAACTGGCTCCAGGGACTTCAGGTGGCTGGGCGGGCTATTGCTCCGGGGAATTCCAACATCACATGCTCAGAAGACAGCTCTCTCCACCTCCAACCCCCAGCCCTCTGTTCCCCTCCCGCTAGTGACATATGAGGTGCAGCTGTCTCCAGCATTGTCAAAAATACCGCACTCCATGGGGGCGAGGGCAGAAAACCTGCTGCCGAAAACCTAAACTTATCCTGGTTCCCCACAAGGAGGGGCAAAGAGAAAAGCACAGCTTTAGCATAAAAGGTTGTTGGCACTTCGCAGTGAAATCAAATCAGAATGCATGTGATTTACAGCAAGAGGTAGCATGCCCCAGACTCAACAGTCATGGGTAGGTGTCTTTTGAAGGAGGCTACCTGATAACTGCTACAGGGACCCGGCACATCTCATTTCACAGTCGTGTCATGTTGCATTGACATGAAGGGAACTGGAGTGAACTTGGTTTCTAATACGGGCCTCACCCCGCTTTCATAGCAACCGTGGTCTTCAGGTTCCTGGAGAAAGGCAGAGAAACAGGAACTGTCTGGCTCACAAGCTCTTGAACTTCTGCACTGATGTTCTTACAAGCCTGGTGGAAGCCGGCGGCATCTTGACTCAAGTCTAGTTCACAGAGATTTTCACAGATGTTTCCTAGGCATTGGTAATACTAATGGTGATGCTGAGGTTCCTGACCACGCCCGTGCCCTGGGCTCTCGGACCCTGCTCAGCTCTCAACACATGCTGCTTCATACCCACCTGTTCCATGAGGTGCTATCATTCCCCTGCCTCAGGACATACGATGCTGAGACTCAGAAAGGTTAAGAGATGGTGTCAAGCAAATGACACCTGTTACCACCTCTGGGGCGGGGGGTCAGGGGGGGTGTCCCACTGCATGGAGGAGAGCAAACAGCACAGCAATGCCTGCCACCAGCAGCCCAGAATGTCAACCTACTCCGTGGTCTGCAAGTGTATCAGGGTCACCAAGAAAGACGCGACTCACACAGGCACGGGGGAGGAAGAGTGCTTTACTCAGAGAAGCGACAGAGCAGAATCAGCTTCAGTAGCTGGCATCAGTCCCCCGGGGCCCCAAAAAGACTCCTTTCCCTCCCTGCCGGGTGGAGATACAGCAGTAGGATTGGCCAGGTGCCATATGATGCACACACTCAAGCAGAACAAAGGAGTACACACTAAATCTAAAACAGGGAAAGACTACACCACACGAGGCGGTAAGTCCAGCATAGCCTGCAAGGGCTCCCTATCTCTTGGCAAGGGAGCACCCCAGGCCTAAGGCCCACTGTTACATGCCAAGCAGGGGTGGAAAGACAGCACGCACGAAATGGTCTTTCCCAACAAGTGGGACCAAGTTCACCTGGGGGCTGGGAGGCAGGGTCAGGATCTGAACCTGGGTTTTTCTGGCATCAAAGCCCATGAGCCTTCTAATGGCACCAGCACCGTATGTCACTCCACCAGGCACCTCTCACCATTTCCACACAGGAAACAGGCATGTTTCAGTTTCATTGGGGTTCAGAAAAACTGCACCACAGATCAGCGCTGTGTGTGTGCCCGCTAAGTCACTTCAGTCGTGTCCGACTCTGCGATCCGGTGGACTGTAGCCTGCCAGGCTCCTCTGTCCATGGGATTCTCCAGGCAAGAATACTGGAGAGGGTTGCCATGCCCTCCTCCAGGGGATCTTCCCCACCCAGGGATCGAGCCCAGATCAGCATTACAAATAGCAAATAAACATGCAGTGTGGAACAGGCATAGATCTATAGGCTCTGGTGTGGGTGGGGGGTAAGTTATAACCAAGAGACTCCCATAGCCACTCTCTCTTCTGAGTCTGCCTCCCCACCACTGTCCTGGCAGCCCCTGGACAACCAGAGTCCTCAGAGCAAAGATGGACTGGGAGGTTTTCTCCCTCCCAGGACTTCTCTAAGAACAAATGCTCCATCTCTCCAACATTTATCCACACTCTAATACCAAGAATAATATTTTAAAACCTGGGATTCTTGTGCCCTGAAGAATCCCCATATACAGGAATTTAAAGCAGAAAAGTGGGCCCCCATCAGGGAGCAGGGGAGTGTAATGCAGGAGAATCTATAGAATTTGGAAAATGAAAGTCACTCAGTTGTGTCCGGCTCTTTGCAACCCCATATAGTCCATGGAATTCTCCAGGCCAGAATACTGGAGTGGGTAGCTGTTCCCTTCTCTAGGGGATCTTCCTGACCCAGGGATCAAACCCAGGTCTCCCGCATTGCAGGCGGATTCTATACCAGCTGAGCTACATGCAAATAAATGGACATGGGAAGGACCATTCAGCCCTAGAGAATATGAGATTGACACATGTAAATTCCTTATAAGAATCAGAAAGAGGGGAAAACGGGATCAAAATCCTTCTCACTTCAGTGCAGGATCCTGTTTGAATATTAAGTCTCCATGCAGTTGCTATGAGGCTTTTGTAATATGACCAAACTATACTGGCTAATTGGGGAAGGGTTATTATCTGCAATTTGCCGATAAGGAGCCAGAGGTGAAAGGAAGTTCAGTAGATGATCTATGCCCATCATGTTCATTTTAGAAGCCACATCGGATTTAGCACTCAGATTTTCCAACTCCCTGCCTGATCCTCAGCTTCTTGGGTCAAAATCATAGTTAATTCTCAGTTGTCGACGTCGTTGATGTGGAGGAACAGAGGCATAGATAATCCCAAATGGTGAGTAATGCCCTTGCCAAGCCTCCCACTCTGGACATTTGCTTTGAAAGGCGCAGAAGGACGGTATCCTGCTGTTAGAGGCTGCCCTGTCCTTATTCCACCCCTCCCCTACTCCAAGCTGCCCCACCTCCTGCTCCTTGAAGACCTAGGAGCAACAGATCAAGAGGAAGAGGCTGTCACGCTTTCCTAGGGTGGGATGGAGTAGTGGAGAGAGGCAGAGAATAAAGCGTTTTGATTTAAAAGGCTTCCTACAGTGCCGCAAGCGAGCAGAACAGTAACAGTAAATGAGACAGTGAATTGTGTCCACTGAAGAATTCCATATGGACGCTGATTCATTATGCTAATAAGGAAGTGCAAGCCAGAGGCTGACTGTATTCTGATTTCATGGCTGGGGGATCCATGGCTCAGAAGGGGGGAACATCCAAATTTGAGGTCAGAGTCCACGCTCCAGCTCTAAACTCCTGATTTCAATTTGGTTGGTCTAATTACTATCCTCTCCTAATGACTAAGGATGCTTTAGAGCCAGATGGCTTTAACGGCTGAGACCTGAGCAGGAATGCAAGTGATGCTTAAGATGAAGAACTGATGCTGGCGCCAAGAGAAGCCAGCTCCTTGGGTTCATTCAGCAAATACTGGGCACCCACCAAGTGCCAGGAGATGGGGCTGGCACTGGCAGGGGAAAACACTAGGGTCAGACATTGACCTTGGCCAAAAGGAACTCAGGGAAGGAGGGGGATGGGGCACATAGAGAAACCTCTGTACTATATACAGAGAGGAAAGTAAGAGGAGATCCAGGGGCTTCTCTTCTCTTCAATTATTTGCTCAGTCACTTGGGCATTGTCTTTAGTGCTCTAGATATAAAGATAAATGAAACTGATCTCTACCCCGTGAAGTTACCATCCAAATACCTAATCTGAGTCACCCAGGGAGGTTTTCAAAATACAGTTCCCCATGTCCCCAGCCCAGACATTCTGATTCTGAATCTCTGAAAGTTATACTCAAGAGACCTAAATCTCCTACGCTGGATGCTTTCCAGGTTTCAGTACTAGTCTGGTGGGATAACAAGTGAAGGGGACCCAGAGGAGGGACAGCCAGAGATGGAAAGACTTCCTGGTTCGCCTCTTCCAGGAAGCCCTCCCTGATCAGCCCAGCACACTGGTCTACATGTCCTCTGTAGACCCCTACATGCCCTCTACAGCCCCCATTACACATCCTGTGAGTACTAGTTTTTCTGGGTGACCGGGAAGTTTAGTCCCCTTGGTTCTTACGTTACCTCTAACGTAGAGTGCTCCCATGTTCCAAGGCCATTGTGACGAGCATTCCAGGGGATTTATGACATACTGGCTGGCTCTGTTCAAGTATAGGAGGTTAGCAGAGGCCCAGTTCCTCCTGGGAAAGCAACTCATCCCCCAAAAGGAAGACCACCTTCCCCTGCTTAATTAAAGCATCACTTAGGGCTCCAAGTAAGCTCCAATCAGAGGCTGCTTGAAGACAGCCAGCAGGGGCCATGACCACCCTCTCTCCCGAAAACAGTCTCTCTGCCAGGCAGTCGGCCTCCTTCATCCTGGTGGGTGTTCTTCATCAGCTCTGAGTCCCTGCCTCCCTAATCTCTGGTTTGCATTAGGGCTATTTTCCCCTGTTAGGGCTATTTTCCCCTGTTGGGTGAGAAGGACCAGAACCCTGAGCTGGCCTAGAAGGCGGAGCAGGGTAGGTCAAACCTTGGTCTCACCATCATCACCGACAACAGGACTGAAAAACACAAGTCCTTTCTTTACCCTTCTATCTAAGTCAGTGTTACTTTTCCCCCATTCGTGACATTCTAACTTTAAAGAGTTCCTGGTTTGCAAGTTGTCTTAAAGATGCTGAATTTTTCTTGGTGTTTTAGCCAACAATTTTGGCATGCTGCCACCAGGTGGCAGTAATGCTTTTGTTAGCAGGGGGTTCCACGTCCAATTAATAGGAGAAGCTATTCATTTGAATTCAGCCTCAGTCATAGAATTTTCCACACTGTATATTTTTCAAAATCATAGTGACTAATTATAATGACCTTAACCAATCTCACATCTCATGAATCATTGTGATTTAGAGAGTGATACATAGAAAAGCAGAAATGCAAAATGGATACCTCTTTTCCTGAGTTTTAAATGTTACTGCTTTATTGCAAGTTATCACCAGGCCTTGATTTGAATTTTCTTTATATCTCTCTTCATTTCTCTAAACTTAGAGAAGGATAATAATAAAATAACAAACTGTCATATGGCATTTATTATGCACAATGACTGTTGTAAATGATTTATTTACAGTCAGTCTCATCATAACTCTGTGAGGTGGATGAAGCTATTACATTCACTTTATAAATGAGAACATTGAGCCCGGGGCGGGGGGGTGCTAAGCAACTTCCTACAGACCCACAGCTAGTAGATGGCAGCGTGCTGTGCTCAGCTTCAGTCGTGTCCGACTCTTTGTGACCCCATGGACCACAGCCCACTGGGCCCCTCTGTCCATGGGATTCTCCCAGGAAGAATACTGGAGTGGGTTGCCATGCCCTCCTCCAGGGGATCTTCTTGATCCAGGGATGGAACCTGCATCTCTTACTCCTCCCGCATTGGCAGGTGGGTTCTTTACCACTAGCGCCACCTGGGAAGCCCGGTCAGTGGCAGAGTGGGTATTTAAACCCAAGCTGTGGAGTCCATCTCCTAATCAGTGATTCTCCAAGTGTGGTGACTGAGTCTGCAGCATCAGCATCAACTTCGGTCTAATAAGGAATGCAGATTCTTGAGTCCCAGATCTTCTGGACCAGAAACTCTGGGCGTGCGGCCCATTGATCTATAGTTTCACAAGCCCTCTGGGTGATTCTGACGTGCACCTAACTTCTTCTTTGCATCATATGGATCTCCAGTTGCTCCGCGGCATATGGGATCTTAGTTCCCAACCAAGGATCGAACCTGCATCCCCTGCCTTCCAAGGTGGATTCTTAACCACTGGGCCACCAGGGAAGTCCCTAAGCCATTTTTTAAAGATAACTATACTACTCTGATGATACACATTCCACACCTGGGTTGATAAATATCCCCCAGATAACTCTCAAGTCACACACATCCCCCCTAAACTGTCTACTCTGAATATGCCTGCCCTCCTTGGGACCCCCCTCTTTCCTTGGGAGGAGTTACTGACACGGCTATGGTTGCTGTTGGGAGTATGTCTTGTCCCACAGTTGACTTCAGGCTTTACTGGGGGCTCTGTAGCTACGCGTGATGTGAGAGCTGGACCATAAGAAGGCTGAGCACCCAAGAATCAATGCTTTCAAATTATGGTGCTGGAGAAGACTCTTGAGAGTCCCTTGGATTGCAAGGGAGATCAAACCAGTCTAGCCTAAAGGAAATCAACCCTGAATATTCACTGGAAGGGCTGTTGCTGAAGCTGAAGCTCCAATACTTCGGCCACCTGATGCGAAGAGCCAACTCATTAGAAAAGACGCGGATGCTGGGAAAGATTGGCGGCTAAAGGAGAAGAGGGCGGCAGAGGATGAGATGATTAGATAGCAACAGCAACTCGATGCACATGAATCTGAGCAAACTCCAGGAGACAGTAAAGGACAGAGGAGCCTGGCATGCTGCAGACCATGGGGTCGCAAAGAGTCAGACACGACTTAAGAGACTAAACAACAACCGTCGCTATGAGGACTCAGAGCAACATGGCATCCGAAAACCCTTAAAGAAAAGTTTTCTTATCCTCCAGTGGCTTTCTTATTTTACTAAAAAATACTGGAGAAAATCCTTAACCTAATGATGCAGTGGAGGAAAGAAACTGGAAAGATGCACGCCTGCAGCCAGGACCACTAACAGCTGTTAGCGAGGTTGAACCATTTAAGGCTCCCACCTCTGGCCCTCTTCTCCAGGGGGAGCATGACCCAGCTTTCCCCAGGTTTGCTGGTAGAGAGCTTCACCCTGCTGAGGCACACCACAAGGCGGGAAGAGACTTCCACACGTGCTTTGCCTAGCAGCACTCCTCTACGGAGTACTAGGAAAGGTGTTATTGGGACTAGGAAAGCTGTTACTGCAGCACCTCACGGACTACCAAAGTCTCCTCCTGGAAGACCAGGTCCTTCTACCTAGATTGTGGGCAGGGTGTTAAGGTGGGCAGGGCAAGGAATAGAGGAATATAGGAGGATGAAGATGGATTTGAGTTCACTCAAATTGAGATCACTCCATTACTTTGAAGAACCCCAGATACAGATTCCATGGTTTCTGGCATAGACAGGCGGTGTTGATGTACTAATGAAGAGAGGGAGGGGACTTCTGTGGAAATTCCTATCGCCACCCCCCTTCCCTCTGCACCCCCCGACCCACCAAACTGGAGCCCTCTGCAGTGGTCAGGCTTTTTGAGCTTGTCCTTGGCTTGCTATGGAGAAGGAAATGGCAAACCACTCCAGTATTCTTGCCTGGAGAATCTCATGGACGGAGGAGCCTGGTGGGCTACAGTCCATGGGGTCGCAAAGAGTTGGATACGACTGAGTGATTTCACTTTCACTTTTTCACTGTGGCTTGCTAGCAAATGTCTTACATGTTCTTGTGAGTGCCCCGTAGTTTGCTGGGGTCCACGGAGATACAGGGAAGAGGCTGGGCAAAGAGAAGTAGAGTTTACTGGAAGAAGTCAGTGGCTTTTTAAAAACAAATTCAGCCAAGGCAAAGTAGGCAGATGGCCAATTGTTGCAGGTAGAGATTTAGTGACGCAGTTTCTCCGGGCACTCAGCAGATGCCTTCCTGTGATGTTTCTAATTATCTCTGCCTTATTATGTTGATGCCATATCTTTTATTATAGTGTTCTGTGAATATAGCTTTGATTAGTTTGCCACTTCCATTATGTTTAACCCTTTTTTCATGTCATTGTTCATCATTTATATTTTAATCTTTCTGTGGTATTTAATTTTAAAGTACCCTGTTGTTAACAGCTTAGTCCCTCAATCATATCCAACTCTTTGTGACCCCATGGACTGTAACCCACCAGGCTCCTCTGTTCATGGGATTTTCCAGGCAAGAATACTAGAGTGGGTTGCCATTTCCTCCTCCAGGGGATCTTCCAGACCTAGGAATCAAACCCGTGTCTCCTGAGACTCCTGTATTGGCAAGCTGATTCTTTACTACTGAGCCACCGGGAAAGCCTAACAGCTCGAGTAGGGTGTATATTTTTTATTTAGACTGAAAATCCTTGCCTTTCACACTCCCTGGTGACATGGCATTGGAGCTAAGCACCCTGATTCTTGCACCAAACAACTCTGGGCTCAAATCTCATCTCTGATATTTACTGTGTGACTTCAGATATACTAAGTAACCCTCTAGACCTCTGGTTCCCTAACAGGTAAAGCAGTGTGACAATTTCACCTGCCTCATAGGTGGTTGTGAAGATTAAACAGTTGTAAATATAAAGCACTTAAAATAAATAAAATCAGTGCTTTTAAAGTGTTTAAAACTATTAAGGAAACTTAAGCATTTGTTTCCATAATTTATTTGGGTTTCAATCATTTTATGCTTTATGCATTTATTGATTCCTTGCTGTTTCCTATATTGTTTATTTTCTAAAGTGAATTAGAAGGAAAATGTACTATTCTGATAAATCTCTAATTTTAAAAAGTCAAAAATAAAATAATTTCTTACACTATCCTTCAATCTAACAAAAAATTGAATTTGTAGTCAAAAATCTTCCCACAAAGAATACTCCAGGCTTAGCTGGCTTCACTGGTAAGTTACACCAAATACTGAAGAAAGAAATAATACCAATTCTATACAAACTATTCTAAAAAAATTGAAAAGCGGAATAGGTCCCTACTTATTCCATGAGGCTAACATTGCCCTGATATCAAAATCAAAAACATTACAAGAAAACAAAATTACAGACCAAGCTCTCTCATGAACAATGATGCAAAAATCCTAAATAAAAATGTAGCAAATAATATCCGATGATGTCTAAAAAGGATAATACATCACCATGAGGGTTTATCCAAGGAATGACAACATTCAGAATAATTCAATGTAATTTACCGTAATAACACACTCAAAAATGAAAAACCATATGATCATCTCCATTGATGCAGAACATCCATCCCTGATAAAACCCTCACCAAACTAGGAACAGAAGGGAACTTCCTCAGCCTAATAAAGGGCATCTACAAAAAGCCTACAGTTAACATCACACCGAAACATAAAAGCCCAAATGCCTTCCCTCTAAGATTAGGAACAAAGCAAAGATGTCTGTCCTCATCACTTTTATTTGACATTGCCCTTGAAGTTCTAGTCAGTGCATAAAACATGAGAAAGAAATAAAAGACATCCAGCTTGAAAAAGAAGAAGTGAAACTGCCTTTATTCACAGAAAACATGACCATCTATGTCAGGGTTGGCAAACTTTTTCTGTAAGGGTCAAAGTAGTCAGTACTTTAGTCTGTATGTGTCATACATCTCTGTTGAAACTACTAAACTCTGCCACTGTAGCATAAAAGCAGCTGTAGACAACAAATGAGTGAACGGGCATGACTGTGTGCCAATAAAACTTTATTTGAAAAAAAAAACAGATTGAAGGCCAGATTTGGCCCATGGGTTATAGTTTGCTGATTGCTGGCCTATATAACAAACCCTATTGACCCACCAAAAAAGCTACTAAGACTAATCAGTGAGATTAGCAAGGTTGTAGGATACAAGATCAATACATAAAAATCCACTATATCTGTAAATACTAGCAAAGAGGAGTTGGAAGTTGAAAGTTTAAAAATGACACCTTTTACAACACCATCCAAACTATGAAATATCTGTGAATAAATCTGACAAAATATATGAATAACCTACATACAAAAATGCACAAAATATTGCAGAGAGAAATTAAAGAAGACCTAAATAAATGGAGACATATACTATGTTTTATGGGTCAGAAGATTCAATAGCATTATCAATTCTCCACAAATTGATCTATAGATTCAATGCAATCCCCATCAAAATCAGTTGCCTTTTTTTTTTTTTTTGTAGAAATTGACCAACTGACTAAAATTCGTAAGGAAATATATTCCTAAAGTTCAGTCTTTCCCTTTTATAATGAAAGATCCCAGGACACAGCCCAGCTCTTCCTATTCCCTTCTACTTCCTGCCAAGAGTTGCAGTTTCTTGAGTACAGGTTGTGAGAACATGACGGCTGTCAGAGGGCAGCAGTCTGACTCTGATCAGCTCAGACGACAGTGTCTATACAATTGGGACGTGGCATCAGGGCAGACCCTGCTTGTCAAGGTTAGGACAAGACCAAGACCAAGATTTTTTGTACCTTCTTGGGCCCATATATCCTATTTTGGTTTAGAAGATGGAGCATATATGAGTCAAAATTAAAGTATTTTGCTTGATCCACTCTACCCAACAGAGTTAGCAGAAATTACCGCAAATTTGGGCCTGTGGGCTCTAATTCTTAATTTCCAGTGCTGTTTTGTCTCTGACACCTTTCTACATCTGTGGTCAATAGATCAGCATCAGCAGTGCCCTGGGAGTTTGTTAGAAATGTGTCATCTTGGCCCCCACCCCAGAACTTTTGAGTCAGAATCAGAATTTTAAGAAGATCTTCAGGTGACTTGTATGCAAATTTAACTTTGAGTCACACCTATGCATATTCGGGTATCTATTAATGGGAAGTTGGGAATATATATATCAGACATGTCTAGTCACCTGCCAAGCTCTCCATTGGCATACTTTCAAGACTGAGATGCGGCATTTCAAGATATTCTCTTCAATGCAAGACTCCTCTAGGCATCTTCCCCTATTCCAACAGGAATTCAACTCCTAATTATTGTTTTATGAGCATTTTAAATTATTTTGCATGTACCGTACTCACCTTTCCCCAACACACACGCGCACACACACACACACACCCTTCATGTAAACAGAAACCTTTCCTTATGATGTACCATTTTATTCTTCTAGAAAAGGTAAAATAGATCTCATAGATGTGTTCAATTTGTATTTATTTTATTTTTCCATTATCAAGGCAAGGATACATTATAGTTATAGAAAAGCTTGAAAATATAAGAAAAAGGGAAAATTACTTATAATCCTATCATTCAAAGATAATCACTGTTTTGTTTTTAGGTGGTTTTTTCAGGGTTTTTTTTCAGTCTTTTTTCAAACAGGATTTTTATAGTGGTTAATTCACTTTAAGAGTATATATGGTGTGGTTTTTACAATATGTAACAGACCTTTATGGAGTTTGTACATAGAATACAGACTGAATATACAGCTTTGCTTTCTGCTTTTTTCCGTTAACATTTATATTTCCCCAGATTATTACTCATTCCTGGTAAGTATCGATTTAAAAGCTTCACAATATTCCACTGAGCATATAAACCATAGTTTACTTAACTATTCCCTTATTGCACAACATTTAGAAAGTGCTTGCATTTTTCATTCTAGTAAGTAGTGTGCAATGAAAATTATTGTGCATACAGCATTTTTCTATATATTTTCAGTAACTTCCTCAGGTTAAATTTTCAGAAGTGAGTCAGAGGCTGGGAACTTTGATTCATGGTGCAAAATCCAGAGTATATCACTTAAAATTCACTTTTAAAGAAAAGCCAAAGTTCCTAATCGAGGGCTGAGGTGGTTGTCCTCACCAGGTGAAGAGAAAACCACCCATTGACAAGACGGAATGGGATGGCTTCTTTGACGAGAACGGTCACTTGGCCAAGTCACGAGACTTCATTTGTGTCAACATCCTGGAAAGGGTACAGTCCTAAGCTACCCTTGGCCTCACCCTGGAACTGAGGGCGTGGGTGGGCAAGGGGGCAGGCATGGCATTGGAAGGGGCTCTTTCAGGCACTCAGGGGGCTCACAACCTCTCACCTCTGCCCCCACCCAGGGCCTGCACCCCACGGTGAGGACAGAAGCCTGGAAGTTCCTCACGGGCTACTACTCGTGGCAGAGTTCCCAGGATGAGCGGCTCACGGTGGACAGCACAAGGAGGTAGAACGTTTCAGATCCTTTCAAGGGAGGGAGGTGACAGTGTAGGTGGGAGGGGGTGCCCATCCCAGCCTGCTAGGTTCAGGCTGCTTCCTTCAAATGGACTTATCTTTTCAAAAGGCAAAATCCCCAAGGCTCTCCTGACTCAGGGGGCATAGGCACCTCCCCCACCCCCACCCTGGACCCTGCACGCCCCGCCTACTCGTGATTACCAGTCCACACCCTGCCAACTTGAGCTCAACCCTAGCACCTCCTCACGCTGCCCCTCCACCCTGCCCAGCCCAGCCATCCCTAGGCCTGTGCGGCCTTCTTGAGATAGGGAATATCCACACACTCAGGAGCCAGCCAGAGAACACTCCAGGACAGTTGGGGATCTAGGGCCACCCGGGTAATTCAGCTCAAGATCCTTAATTAAGTACACCTGCAAAGACCCTTTTCCCAAAGAAAGTCATATTCACAAGTTCCAGGGCATAGACCTATCTTTGGAGGTCACCATTCAGCCCGCTACACACCTAAACTCACTCCAATGGTGGGCACGAAACCCTGCCTCATCCAGTCCTTCCAATCCTGAGGCTCAGGTGCTAGCATTAGCCCGCTCTAAGACAAGGAAACGGAGGCTTAGGGAGGGCCAGTGATATCCCTGTCTTGATATCCCCCAATGGCAGACAGCCAGTTCTTAAATCACGGATCCAGGATTCAGGTGCAGTGGTCAGACTGCAGCCGCCTCCCCTGCACTCCAGGCGCCTATCGGAGGATGGTTAGGGTTGGGCAAGTGGGGGGTGGGGGGCAGCACATGGGGCACGCACCGCCTGGGTCAGGGCGCTGCTCGGAGTTCCCCCGACGGGCCTAGAGGGAAGGATGCCTCCTTCAGCCTGGGTCTGTCCTCACAGGAAGAACTATGAGGCCTTATGCCAGATGTACCAGCAGATTCAGCCCCTTCTGGAAAACCTGCACCGGAACTTCATAGAGACTCGGAACAACATCAGTGAGCCCAGGAGGGTGGGCTGGGCCCGGCAGAGGGGAGGGTTGGAAGCCCTTCTCCCTGACTCTTCCTATGTCATGTCTGTGCCCTGGTTCCTGGGCGCTACCTTGACACATGCTGCGAATTTTGCCGGCTCAATCTCGGTTAGTCTACCAGCCCGGCTCTGCCGGCTTCCCCAAGTGGCCCAGCAGCGTGTGTCCCCGGGTGTATGCTCTTTCGCTGGTTGTCTACATCTCTTCCCCTCTTGGCCTTGAACTAGGTTGGATTTGAACTGCAGGAACGCAGGACATTCCTGGCAAAGGGTACAGACTGGTCAAAGATTTGTTGGAGGCAGGAGAAATTCCAGGCAGCTCAGGTTGTGGTGAAGGGTAAAGCTTGGTGGTCTGATGTCTTTTTTCATTTTATTTTTTTGGTTGCTGCGCATGAGCTTTCTCTTGTTGCACTGCATGGGCTTCTCATTGCAGTGGCTTCATCTTGTTCTGGAGCATGGGCTCTAGGGCGTCTGGGCTCAGTACTTGTGGCACTTGGGCTCAGTCACTCCGCAGCACCTAGGATCTTAGGTTCTGGACCAGGGGTAGAACCTATGTGCCCTGCGTTGGCAGGAGAATTCTCAACCACTGGACCACCAAGGAGGTTCCCAATGTAAACTTTTTCATAGCCCCCTTCTCAGGATGTCCTGGGTCCAACCCTCTTGGATTGGGGATAATAAACTCACCCATGGACCTTCTGCTAGACGTGATCTGGTGACACCCACCTGTCCCTTGCCCCCAACCTAGCACACGACATTAAAAAACTCTGTGACAAAGACCCCCTGGGCAATGTCCTCATCAATAAGAAGAGGCTGGAGAAGATCCTGCTCCTGAGTTATGTCTGCAACACTCAAGCAGGTGCGCCACAGGGCTGGGGATCCCTTCAGCTCCCCCTTCTCAACTCCTTCCTGGGACAGTGCCCCTGCCCCAGCCCAGGCTCTGCCGTAACCCCCCGTCATCCCCCCCCCGGCCCCTCCTCACTGGTCCCCAATCCACTCCAGAGTACCAGCAGGGTTTCCATGAGATGGTGATGATTTTCCAGCTGATGGTAGAACATGACCATGAGACCTTCTGGCTTTTCCAGTTCTTCCTACAGAAAACGGTGAGAGCTGGGCCTGGCTTAGGGACCTCCACGTTCCTCAAATGACCCCTTGAGGTTAGGCAGGCATTGGCAGTCCCACTCATTTCCTCCAGCCCTGAAACAGCCCGCTGAGTCCCAGAGGAGCTTCTCCCAGAAAAAGGCAATGTCAGCCCCAGTGAGGTTTGTTCTGGGTTGGGGGGTGGAAGCATTGGAACTGAGAAAATAAGGATAACGATGCACTGGTCCAGCTCTTGTCAAACCTTGAAAGGTTTGGAAAGGCCCAATGAGCACACCTTTCCCCTGGCATTCCCCCTGCCCCAAGCATGGCTCTGCTCCTGCAAATCCTCCATGGCTCCCTACAGGCTCCATAATAGAATTCCAAAACCGCAGCCAAACATTCCAGGCCTCTTGTCTTCACTCTTGTCTCTCACTGCTACTTTTACCTGACCTACATCCAGGCCCTGCAGGGACTCGGTATTCCCACACTGTGAGGTTGAGAGCTTTAAAGGTGCTGCTCCCTGTTACTCCCTTTCCTCATGATCTGTGAGAGGCTGCCCAGAACCCACCCTCATCCCCTTCTCCATCCCTGAGACAATGTGCCACTGCTCTTTCCTTGTCCTGATTGGTTCAGACCCATGGTATGTGTCTGGAAGAATATCTGAGTTCACTGCATTGTGAGCCATGCCCAGTCCATCTCTACATCCCCACTACACACACACACATACACGCATGCACACGCATGCGCACGCACATCACACAGACAAGATGTGTGTTTATAAACACCCATACTCCAACACCCAGACACATACAGAGACTCAGGCCAGGCCCAGCCAGACACACACAGGGCCTCCAGCATTGGGAAGTTGATGGAGCAAGGCTGACTCATATGGTGGTTTCAAGGGGGTCCCTCCCGCCCACTCATCTCCCCCAGGAGCACAGCTGTGTCATCAACATCGGGGTAGGCAAGAACCTCGACATGCTCAACACCCTGATCAACTTCCTGGATCCCGTGTTCGCTGAGCACTTAAGTGAGTGGCCCCCTCTGCCACCATACACCTCCCTCAACCCCAGGGAAGGCGTGGGAGGGGACCGGGACCTGATCCGAGGCAGCAGCTCCCAAGCGTGGGGGAGGAAATGAGATCATTTGGTCTTTTCTTCGGCCCCAGGAGGAGGGTTCATCTGGATGGGGGTTAGAATCTGGACAGTTGAAAATCCACCCCGAACACTCTCCAAGGGCAGATGGAAATGTGACAGCCTGGGGTTTTTTAATTTCCCAAGTGTGTTTCTGCACTCAGTTGTTCGCCCATGTGTTTTTGCTTTATCTCCCATCCCCTGACCATGGCCCCTGGGCTGGTGCCCGGCTTCTCTCCCCACAGAAGGGAAGGGTGCGGGGGCTGTGCCATCCCTCTTCCCCTGGTTCTGCCTCTGCTTTCAACATGCCTTCAAGACCTTCGACGACGTCTGGAGGCTCTGGGAGGTGAGGTGCCTGCTGCTCTGGGGCAGAGGGACAGGCCCTCCGCCTGGGGCAGGCAGCAGGGAGGCCCTGTCCTTGCTTCTCTTTACTGCTGGCTTTGGACAGGTTCGATTTCTGGGTGGGGAAGATCCGCTGGAGAAGGGATAGGCGACCCACTCCAGTATTCATGGGCTTCCCTGGTGGCTCAGCTCATAAAGAATCCGCCTGCAATGCAGGAGACCTGGGTTAAGAAGATCCCCTGGAGAAGGGAAAGGCTACCCACTCCAGTATTTTGGCCTGGAGAATTCCATGAACTGTATAGTCCATGGGGTCGCAAAGAGTCGGACACAACTGAGCGACTTTCACTTCAATTCACTTCACTTCATTCTGGATACAGTTCAGTGGGATTTATTGGGCCAGCGACCCAGCTCCTGCCCTGTTGAGAGATGTGAGAACATCAGCTGATCCCTCTGTTCATCTTATCCCTCCACTGCACCTTCTCAGGGCAGCGCAGGCAGGAGGGGCCTTGAGGCTCGTGCAGCGGAAGTCTGGTCGGTATTCGGCTTCCCTGCCACCCTGCCTGCCCAAGGGCCCTTATTCTGCCTCTTCTTTGGCTTTCCCCTCCACCTGAGTGCCCACACCTGACTCCTGGAGAAGGAGGGGCCCCCCAAGGACAGGTCACACCTGCACTTCTTTGACCCCAGTCTCCAGGGCAAGATACACTCCCCCGGGAACACACCCACCACCCTACCCCATGGCCATTGCTGCCCGCAGGATTGGGCCTACAGCTCAACCTGGCATTCAGTGCCCCACAAGTCAACTCCCCCTACCTCACTCCTCACTCCTGGCCTGTTGATCTCCGTGCTCAACCACCATGCCTTTAATGATACCCCTGGACTGCTGACTTTCCATCAACTGTTGTTTTGCCAAAGCACCACTCAAAGCTAGAGAGAGTTACCCAGTCATTCTTGGCATTCTCTCCCCCGTCTGTCTCTTTCTTCTTTCCTGCTCCCTCCCTTCCTCCTTCCCTTCTTCCTTCTCTCTTTCTCTCTCTCTCCCTCTAGCTGATGAATTCCCTAAAGCCTTTTTCCCTGAGTCCCCCAACAGCAAGCACAATGCCTAGAACCCCAGAGGTTGAATGAATGAATGAGAGTCAATGAATGAGCACATGGGCAGCAAGGCCCAGGCATGGCTGATGGGTCACGTGCTTGGTGGGTACCACACCATCCTTAAGGCCACAGGCCAGACTGAGGTTCATTGGCCCTGCAGGTGCTGCTCACAGGGAAACCCTGCAGGAACTTCCAGGTGCTGGTGGCCTACAGCATGCTGCAGATGGTGCGCCAGCAGGTGCTACAGGAGAGCATGACGGGCGACGACATCCTCCTGGTGAGAGCGGCCTCCTGCAAAGCCCAGCCCAGCCCCACCGGCTCCCAGAGACCCCTGACACAGACTCAGAGGCCCTGGCTGCCCCTGGGCAATAGTGGGGAGACTGACATACTCCGAACACTGTGCCAAGTGCTTGTATAGACCAGCTCATGTAAACCTCCAGACAAGCCTGACACAGAAGCATGATAACCATCATCATCACCAGTGCCCCTGTTTAGCATCTGGGGGAGCTGAGGTCCTGAACGGTTCTTAACCTTGAGGCTGGATTGACTGACAGTTAACTCTTTGGCCCTAGGGTCCTCCTGTGACAAAAGACCTAGAGTTTTCCAACAATTCTGAAAAGCAGCTGAAGTCTTTGATCCAAAACATCTTAGATGGCGCCCCCATCATAAAACAAGTCCTCCCAGAATCCCATGAAAAACTCAGGGAAACCCTGGGGACCATCTAGTGCCAAGATTGAAAATTGCATTCCCCATCTCTCCAATATATAAAATTTTGATGGTAAAATTCAGGCACTGTGCCAAGCTAGTTGAGAAGAGATTGGGTGGCCCCAAGTGACTGCCATGAGCAGCGGCCTCGTCCCCGTGAAGCAGCGGGTCGCTGCCTGTGCCCAGGCAGACCTGCTTCCGCCCACCTTCTTCTGGCACAGGCCTGCAACAACCTCATTGACCTCGATGCCGACGAGCTGATCTCTGCTGCCTGCGTAGTTTACGCTGAGCTCATCCAGAAGGATGTAAGTCACTCTGATTATTTGTCCTCCTTACCTTCTTCCTCCAAGAGGCCTTCTCCAATCGCCCAAGCCCAGTCCATGGCAGGTGTAATTCAACTTCAGAGACATAGCTTGTGCTATATTCTCTGCCACCAACCCACGGGGATTGCTCTGCACAGACTTCTCACTGTTTGCATGCATAATTCGTGCTTCACCGAGCAGACTGTGCTTCCTGAGAACCCAGCCCTCAACCCTCATTCCCTGCATCCATCTGGGTAGATCGGGCACAGGGCTGGGCACCAGGGGCTCAGGGGAACATTACTGGCAGAACGAACTGAAGAATGAGAGCGACAGACCAATGTCTGTCCACCCCTACCTGTTAGAACCCTCCTCTCCCCCAGGTTCCTCAGTCGTTAAAGGATTTCTTTCTCTGAGACTGCTCACAATGGACAGACGCCCTCCATGGACAGGAGGAGGTGGTGCTTCAGCTGTGAGGTCAGGATGAAGTCCAATGGGGCTATCGGGTGAGGGTGTAGGTAATACAGCTGTGATAACAACAGCCTTCTGGAGTCATGGTTTGCGGTGAGCAGTGTGTTTCCTGGGGTGGGGAATGAGGGCAGAGAGAGGATTGTCTGATGAGAAGAGAGATGGGAGGGCTAGAGAAAGGGAAGAGACTGCTGGTCAGCGACTCCTCAGGGGCTGAGGGTTTGCCAAGGCTGCAGTGGTTCTGCACCAGGCAGCAAAGGGTTGAGCGCATAACCGACGCTGTGAGTGGGCTGCCTCCTGTGGAAGAGATGGACACGTCCAACATGCTTGCTCAATCCCTGGTCCGGAGAGGGGGAGAGGGGGCCCGAGCCCAGGGCTTCCCACCCCATGGCTCTTCTATACTCCCCACACATGAATCATACATGACATTGTTTTTCCAGAACCTCCCCAGCAGCCTGTGGAAGGACACAGCACAAATCTCTGGCTAGCAAGATGCTCCTTCCTTGGTTTCAAAGCCCCTCACAATTGCACCTTCATTTCTCAGCCTGGAATGCCGCCTCAAACTAAACTCCCCTTTTCAGCCTTAATCTCTCCAGGTAGTGCCATCTCTTCCCTGACTCGGGCAGAGCAGTCTCTCCCTGAGGGCAGAAACTCCTGCCACCTGCTCTCCCCAAAATGTGCACCTGCCCCAAGCCCCCCACCCAGCCTGCCCATGCTCTGAGGGTGACCCTGAAGGCAGACATGAAGACTGGCCAGAAGAAGCTGAACCTGCAGAGAGACAGGAGTCTGGCCAGGTGCTTCCATAGCTGCTTGACAAGCGTGTACACCTATTGTGTGTATGTAAACTGTATGCCTACACATGAGCCCTGCCCAGCGGCTACACTTTTTCAGCAGGGGCTGATGGATGGGTGGGAGAGATCTGTGGTTTCGCAGTGGACCTGGCTCTAGTGGGTGAGGCACGACCATCACCACCACGCCCCTGCTCCCACCTGTCACTCCCAGTGACCATCACTGGAAAGGCACCATGTCCCCTCTAGTGGCCGGTCTTCTTCCCCTCAGGTGACAATCTCCCATCCGTGGCTGGCTCTGAGTCTCTTGCCTGCTGTGCCTCTGCTGGAGGGGGTTACTTGGAAGAGAGGGGTCCTGCTTCCCCCCCACCCCAGGGTCTTTTCTGCAAGGTTAACAAACCAGCATTTGCTGGGCAAGAGAGTACATGAGTAAATTCATATACTGTGTACCTCCTCAAGCTTCTGTTCCCAAGACAATTTATTTAAATAAGGATCCTGTGTGGAATACACTGAACAAAGAACAAAACTGTTTTCTACTTCAAAAAAGAACCAGAATAAACGATGAGCTAACTGTGGCCTTGGAGAGAATCCATAGAAACATCAGGTGTGCATCTTCTAATGCTTTTTTTGGCCTAGTGGCATTAATTGGCTTATGATTTTTGCTTGGGACATCAATGACAAACATCTACTCCACAACTAAGCAATTCAAGTACTTGCCTTCTAGGCCAGTGGTTTTCAAACCTGATTTTAAAATTACTGGAGCTTCATTATTACAAAATCTACACTAAGAGTTCAGTGGCTGAAATTTGGTTGGGAAGTCCAGAGCCTTTCTGTCTGTGATCTCTCTCTCAGACTCCTTTTTGGAGCTCATCATTTTCTCCAAGTTACCTCCAAAGAGGCTGACTTACTGGAAGCATGTCTGAACACCACTGTTTGTCTTCAAGATGACCTGGATTAAGTCTTGATGCTGAACTGATCCAGGCTCAGATAAATTCCAAGTGATACAGTGATGGAAATGAAGATCTTAGAGGACTGAACATCTCTCAGCTCACCTGCTGTGCTCCTGGCTGGTGGACTGTAGATTAAGATCTTCCCACACTGTTATTGTGTGCATCATGGAGCCAGCACAGGCTTCTCCTCTCTTAGTTTATCACTTTTATCACCCAGTGTTTTTTTTTTTTTCTCTAGTAAAGTCCAGTCCTGAGGTAGAACTATAGGGAGCATTCAGATCCAAGAGACTAAGTTCCCTTCAGTGTAGAGACTGTGTGGGTCTAAATAATTTGCTAATTCAACAGATATTTATGGAGTCCTTACTGTGAGCTTCCCTGGTGGTTTAGAGGGTCAAGCATCTGCCTGCAATGCAGGAGACCAGGGTTCAATTCCTGAGTCGGGAAGATCCTCTGGAGAGGGAAATGGCAACCCACTCCAGTATTCTTGCCTGGAAAATCTCATGGACGGAGGAGCCTGGGAGGCTGCAGTCCATGGGGTCACAAAGAGTTGGACACGACTGAGCAACTTCACTTCACTTACTGCGAGGCATTGTCCAGGAACTGAGAATTCCACCATGGGGAAAAGAAGGACACAATCCCTGTTTCCATGGCACTCACATTTGAGTGGGAACCAGACAATTAACCTTGAAGTATGTATAACTGCACATTCCTTTTGTGCTCTGAAGGAAAGAACATGGTTCTAGGAGAGAAGATAGCAATGAATGGTGGTGATGATGGTGCCAATGACAATGGTGGTGATTCAGGCATGATGTTTATGAGGACAGTGGGTGGGAGAAGTTGCAATGTTGGTGATGATGGTGGTGAATGGCTGTAGTCACAATGTCAATAAGGACCAGAGTGGTAATATCCATGACGGTGGTGGTGGTAGAGTTGATGTCAAAACTGGTGTAGTACTGGTGGCTGAGGTGGCAATGTAAGTTTGGGTGATGATGGTGGGGATGTTGGTGATAATGGTGGTTGTTAGCAATATTGTTGGTATCAATGGTGGGGGGTGGTTGGTGGCAGAAAGTGTGATTAATTGATGACAGTGGAGGTGGCTGTAGGGATGATTTGATTCTGGCAGTGGAAGAGATGAAGATGTCAGTGATGATGATGGTAGTGCTGGCTTTCATTCAGCCAACAAAAACTGTCTACAATGGCCATTTCTGTACTGATACTGGTGATGGGGTTGGTGGTAATGGCAGTCATGGTGGAGATGAAAACAGGGACAAATTCATTCTGGAAAGACTAGTGTCTACATGATTCCAGTGAGCAAGACCTAAATATAATATTTTAAAAGAGCGATAGTGGTCATGAGCATAGAGATAAAGCAAATGGAAGCACCCAGGCCCTATCCAAGCTTTCTAATACTTGGTCTTGAGCCTCATATGAAAGCTTGGACTGGCTATATCCATTCTATGATCTCATCCCACCTCTCCTCCTTTCACTCTTGTTCTAAGCCTCTTTCCTGGAGGTTATTCATTTTTCCTTCTCCCTGAATGACCCTAAGCCCACTCTTTGTTCCTGGAACCAAAATGGTTCTCTATCCAGCTAAGGCTTCACAGAGGTGGCATGTGTAAATTCAAGTTCTCTGGGCCCCAGAGTCTGTATTTTTTACTTAGAGGGGGATAAAGGAAAAGGGCCGTGACCAACAGAGCCTAGTCCTGTGCTGAAGCCCAGACCTTTGTCTGGGGGGTAAGGGCTCTACCTATTGCAGGGGGAAGGACATAGCTGGTGGATGGGGCCTCCACTACCCAGGACTCAATTGCACTAACGTGATTGGGCTTGAGGATAGAACACTGGCTTCTCAAGTGGACATGGAGGGAAGAAAGAGAATGAACAGGAATTTAAGGAAAGAAAAAGAGAAGTGCTAGAACATTGGGGGAGGCAGTGAAATAGGTGGGAATGTAAGGTTTCTTTTTCAACTAGCGATCATCTCAGTGACCATCAACAGAGACATTAGTGTTGGCAGAACATGGCAAAGTGACAAATGGTACTTGTGCACTGAGCCTTAAGCCTGATGCTTCTCACAGATGTGTTTCCCAGGCCACTGCCCCATCCCAGCCACAATACACATGTGTGCACAGACACACATGCGCACACACACACTCTACACACCCACACTGCGGCCCCGGGGTATCCCTGGTGGTTTTGTTGTTCAACCTGATTGAGATATAACTAAGCTGGAAATGTCTTTTCTGTCCACCTTTCAGAAGAAGGATGTTCAGGTCCATCTAGACTAAAGGAACTCTCTACTCCTCCTCCCTTCTGCACTTGCCACCTCCCCTCCATGCACACACATACACATTTCAATCCATCACCGAGTTCCGCCAGTTTTACACCTACTTAGACCAGTTGCTCAGTTCTGTCACTGCTGGGGAGGGAATATGGCTTGACCAAGCCCACTGACCCTCCTCCCTCTGGGTGGACTCGGGCCAGGGTCTGCAGGAACAAAGCTTGTGAACTCCGGGAACTGAGCTGCATCCTGGTAGGTGGGAGGGGCGGCCCCGGCTCTGGTGCTCCTGGTACTGTCACCACCAACCCCAATGAGACGCCTCAGGCCCCAGAAGGTGGAGTTGAAGTCCCCACCCCAAAGGGCAAGGGAACAAGTCTTCCCTAATCCCACTTTCCCACTAACCGCTTAGGGGCCTGAAACCCAAGGGAGAGGGGACTGTGGCCATAAGGAGTGGCTGGAGCTCCAGGAGGTCAGGAAGGAGAGCACAATAATCACAACAGCACTTACTGAGCAATTGCTATGTCCCAAGCCCAACTCAGATGGTAACGAATCTGCCGGCAATGCAGCAGACCTGGGTTCGATCCCCTGGAGAAGGGAATGGCTATCCACTCCAGGATTCTTGCCTGGAGAATTCCACGGACAGAGAAGCCTGGTGGGCTACAGTCCATGAGGTTGCAAAGAGTCAGACTCCACTGAGCAACTGACACTTTCACTTTTCTTTCAAGCCCCATGCTAAGCACATCACAGTCTTCCTCTCCCATAATCCTCAAATTCAGAAGACAGATGCCAGCATCACACTCTTCTTACTGGTGAGGAGCCCAAGGCACTGGACTGCACAGCCAGTGACGGCAAAGTCAGAATGTGAGCGCTGACAGCAAACCCCGTGGCCCACACCGGTAGCCTCAGTCCCCGGGTTCACATCTTCACCTGCCCAT